GGGAGCACCCCAAGGGCCCCCGCCAGCTGGAGGCCCCCGAGGTCCCGGCGGAGCTTCCGAGCGGCCGAGGAGCTGAGCAGCAGGCGGAAGAAGAGGAAGAAGTGGGAGAAGGCAGCAGCACCGAGAGCAGCCGGGACGCGGTGAGGGGCCGGGAGGGCGGGACCTGGGGAACCCGGGCAGGTGACAGTGGGTATGGAGAGACAGACAGACAGAGGTCGGAGACGGTGAGAGCCCCAGAGCTATGAAACTCCTGAGACTCAGACCGAGGGGGAGGCAGTCACCTGGAGACCTGTGTGCAGAGACCAGATGGACAGAGACCCAGGGGCGGGGAGACTGGGAGACCGAGACCCCAAAGAGTCAGGGACACGGGCAGGCCAGAGGGAGAGTGACCCAGAGACAGAGACCCAGAGAGATGGGTCTGGAGACAGAGACCCAGAAACAGGGCAGAGATGCTCAGAGAAACAGAAATAGAGACAGAAGCCTTGAGAGGGAGATACTCCGAGGAAGAGAAGTAGCAATTCAGAGACAGAGGATGGATTCTGAGCGGGAGACAGGAAGCCCAGAGAAATGGGGGTGGGGTTGGGGGGGGTTAGGGTGTGACTCAGAGAGACCTGGGGAAAGAGAGAGATATCCAGGGCCTAGACAGGGGTGGGCAAACTTTTTGACTCGAGGGCCACAATGGGTTCTTAAACTGGACCGGAGGGCCGGAACAAAAGCATGGATGGAGTGTTTGTGTGAACTAATATAAATTCAAAGTAAACATCATTAAAAAAAAGGGTACGGTTTTTTTTTTTTAGTTTTATTCATTCCAACCAGGCCGGATCCGGCCCGCGGGCCGTAGTTTGCCCACGGCTGACCTAGGGCCAGGGGGAAGGGAACAATGGGGACATTATTGTTTAATAGGTATGGAATTTGAGTTTGAGATGATGAAACATTCTGGAGAATGGACAGTGTTCATGGTTGCACAGCAGTGTGAATGTATTTGATGCTGCTGAACTATACGCTTAAAAATGGTTAATAGGGAAAATTTTATGCTAGGTATATTTTACCAGGATTTAAAAAAGTAAAGTAAACCAGTGAGATGCACCTATGAAAAAACAGTGGTACAATCTGGATGTACAAGGCAGGATGATGTCTTTTTGCTGTTATTTTCTTTTCATTTTTACCTATTTATTTACTAGCTACTTATTTAAAATTTACTAGATAAATTGTATCTAATATAGTCATTCTTAAGTCTTAGAGTTATTTCTTAGAGTTACTGTAGATATTTATATGTTATAGATTACTACCATAGGCCAATTTGGAACAGAAGATTCTAAGTACACTTCCCTGTAGATTCTGTCTTAAGGAGGGGCATTCTTTATTAATTAATGTTTTTGGCCTTTTGTCTTACTTTAACCTTTGACATCTCCAATTCGTGCAGCAAATATTTATTGTGTGCCTACTATAATGTTGGGGGCATTGGGACTGTAGCAGTGAACAAAACACAAATAATCCTGTCTTAATGGAGCTTACATTCTAATGTTCTTCATTTCCTTATTGTAAAGATACTTGGGCTGGGATGGAGGCTGTGGGGGAACAGAAGCCGCTCCTTACTTCCTCCTGCCTCCCTGACCGTGATGTTGGGGCCTCTTCCTTTGCCCCGCTCTCTTTCGTCTCTTATTGCCACACTGTGAAAAACATTAAACCAACAAAAAAAGAAGAGTCAGGTGGCCGCCATATTAGGGCATTGCTAGCTTCAGCGGTGATAAACTCCCATTCCTGTTTCATATCCCTCAATTTGCTTCCCCATCCCTAGTTTTGAAAGCCCATCCCAGGCATTATATTATTACTATTATTTTTTTGTTAATCCTCACCTGAGGATATTTTTTTCATTGATTTTTAGGGAGAGTGGAAAAGAGAGGGAAAGACAGAGAGAA